CCCCACCAGCACGGCCCCCCATGTGCCCCCCCCAACCCTGTCCATGTCCCCCCTCACCCGCTGGGCCTGGCCCAGGACAGCCCGGAGCTGGTCGGGGCGCAGTGCTGTGTCCTGGCTGAGCAGCCCCAGGCAGCCCTCCAGCTGCTGGGGGGCCATGGCGGCCAGCTGGGCTGCACTCCACACCGCAGGGAAGGTGGCACGCATGTCGGCACAGCTGGGCACAGGGGCTGCAGAGCTGGCCTGAGCAGGCTGGCCCCAGCACGAGGGGGACACACCAGCCAGGGAGGAGTCAGCATGGGGACACTGGGGACATAAGGCCAGCCCAGGGAGGGAACAGCATGGGGAACATGGGCAGCAGGGGCACAAAGTGTGTGGGCAGGGCATGGGAGGGCACCAGGGACAGGAGGTGCACGAGCGGGGACAGGGCTGAGGGGGGGAGTGCACAGTCTCACCTTGCTCCCCTGGCCCGGCAGCTGCCACCAGCGGGGCCACCAGCACTTCCTGCGGGCTGGGACCCTCACCCAGGGTGCCAGGGGGGTGGCAGAGGCGTCCCAGCTCGCTCTGCTCCCAGTCCCGCTGGCTCTGCAGCAGCTGCTCCACCGTGTCTCTGCTCAGCAAGTCCTGGGGCAGCATTGGGAGGACGTGGAGAGAGGGACCAGGACAGACCCCACCAGCAGAAAGGCCCAAGGGAGCAGCAAGGACAGCACAGCCACAGGGGCGAGAGTGCTGATGGGTTGGTTGGCACAGCCACAAGGACGGGGCACCAGCAGGGATAGCACAGCCACAAGGGTGGGACACCATTGGGGATGGCACGGCCACAAGGATGTGGTACTGGTGGGGACAGCACAGCCAGGGGGATGGGGCGCTGGTGGGGATGGCACAGCTCCAGGACCCGGTGGAGGGGCCAGGGCCTGACCAGCCATGGGGCAGTGCGGTGGCAGTGGGATGGGACATGGTGCTCACCCGGGGGATGGCACGCAGGCTCTTGAGGGGCAGCAGGAAGACCAGGCGCCCCAGCTGCTGCAGGGTGGGCAGGCGCCAGCTTGGCGGGGTCCTGCAGGAGCGGGCGTCAAGGTGGCACTGGCAGGGCCCCATGCCCCCCTGGCCACCACCTACCCCAGCGCCTGCTCCGACAGCAGCAGCCGCCCCAGCTCGGCACCCGCTTCCGCAGCCAGGCAGGTGTCCTGCAGGTCCCCCAGCCGTGGCAGCAGGCTCTGAGGCTGGACACGGGCCACAGTCTCCCGGCCCAGGAACCCTACCAGTGGGCCCAGCCGGTCCAGGTCCTCCCCACCCAGCTCTGTCCCTGCTGGGAGCCGCTGCAGGAGGGAGAGCAGAGGAGTGAGGGCAGGTGGCTGCATCTCCCTGTGCCCCGTGCTAGGCTCCCTGCCCTTACCAGGGAGTGCAGGGCCCCACGGGCCAGGGCTGCCCGGCGGGTAGCCGGCAGGGCCAGCAGGCTGCGGGGCTGGCGGATTGCATGGTCCAGAACCAGCCGCATCATGGCATCAGGCAGCATCTCCACCAGCTTTGCCCTGCAGGAGCCAGAGCACAGCTGGGCACTGCAGGGCAAGGGGCTGCTCTGCCCAGGGATGAATGGGGCACTAAGCCCCATCCTGTAGACCCCCTCTCACAGCAGGGGTGCCCAGGCACCAGGGAGGACCAGGGGCTGGGGCTGCCAGGAGGGCAGTGGTGCCTGCTGAGGGCTCCTGCCACCAGTCCCTGCTCCACATGCAGGGGCAGCAGGGCAGGGGGGCTTACTGGCCCCTTGGAGACACAAGGATGGTGATGGGCCCAAAGAGGGGGCTGTAGGCCAGCAGGCAGTGCTTTCCCCACCACAGGGAAAGGGGGCAATGGGAGCAGAAAGGGCCCTGCATGCCAGGGCCAGCTGCTCCTGACACCTACGGCAACTCCATGAGGAACCGAGGTCCCAGCCATGCCATCTCCTCCTCGGAGAGCGCAGGACGCCTGAGCACCTCCTCCTGCACGCAGCGCCTCTGGGGACACCATGCTTTGAGTGCAGGACAGGGACAGGCTGCCTGCGAGCCACAGGGGTTGTGGAGCCTCCTCCTTACCAGGCTGGCAGGCAGGGAGCGAGGCTGCACATAGAGGGTCCGGAGAGCCCCCAGGAAATCCTGCTGGCCCAGCTCCTGCAGTGCCATGCAGCTCATGCCCACCACCAGCGAGCCCAGGGCACTGCAGGACAACGGCGTTAGACCCTGTCGGGGCTTCACCGCCCCCAGCCCCATAGAGACCTGCTCAACCCTGCTCAGGGCCCTGCCAAGGCTCCCGCCTCCTGCCCAGGGCACCCAGCCCTCTCCCAGCTCCATTCCCTCTGTGGGACCCCAGAGGCTGCTCCCAGACATCCCCATCCCCATGCCCCAGCTGGTGCCCGTTGGTCAGCCTGGGTGGGCTGCTCTCACCCAGCAGTGTGGTGGCTGCGGTTAGTGCTGGCTCCCACCTCTCTCCAGAGGAGCTGGGCCTGTTGGGGGGGGCAGCTGTGGGAGGCACAGGGGGGCAGCACCTTCCCCCACAGCCCTGTGCCCAGCCTCTGACCTGCTGCGGGGACCAGGGCAGGTTCAGGTCCCACAGAGCCCCCCGAAAAGCCTGGGCACCACGACGCAGGAGCTGGAGGGGCAGCAGGGGCAGGAGGCAGTGGGGCCAGCCGTCTGGGGGCTGCAGAGCCTGCAGCAGGGATGCCGTCTGCGCCGCTGAGAGCAGGGGTAGGGCTGGCCCCAGGCATGCGCAGCCTTGGACCCGGAGTGGGGCCAGGACGGCTGCCAGCAACGTGGGTCCCAGGCCTGGCAGGAGGGGACACAGCCTGGCTGCTTCCCCTGCTGTCACCTGCAGAGAAACGTGCTAGCCTTGCTCGGGCAGCCGTGCCACAGCAGGGCTGCACCTTGCACAGGGATCCTGAGGCAGCCCAGGCAGGCATGGGTGTGTGAGATCTGGGGCTGCCCTCAGGCACCAGGGCAAAGCACCCGCAGCCCATCCTTTTCCTGCAGAGGCACCTCGGACACTCACATTGTCCCTCTGGACAGCCCATGCAAGCAGGAAGGATGCCTGGGGGCAGGACAAGGCAGTGGTGGTCAGCAGTGACAGCATAGCCTTGGCAGGGGCAGGGTGCGAGGCTCGGAGGCTGCCTGGCTGCACTGTGCTGGACTCTCTGAGAGTGCCCTGGGCTCGGGGACCCCCCGGCCCAGGGTGTCTGCAGCCAAGCTGGACTCACCTGGGCACGCGTCAGATGCATTGGCCGCAGCTGGGGCAGGAGGGCATTCAGCTGGGCAGCTGACAGGTGCTGCAGGAAGCCCACTCCCATCTCAGGGAGGACGCCCCTCCATGCTGGCAGCTCCCCAGGGCTCACCATGGCCAGGCTGGTGGAGCGCAGCAAGTCTGCCAGGGCGAGCATGACCTGCCAGCGCGGAGCAGGAGAGGCCGTGAGCCCAGGGCTGGTGGGCAGCTTGCCCCAGCCCCTGTCACAGGAGGAGCCACAGGGCAAAAGTGGAGCTGGTGCTGGTGCCTAGCCTGATGTGCTGCCTGACTGGGAGCTGCTGCCCTGGCACCCCTATTCGTGCCGGCACATTGTGGCCAGGCTCCCCCAGAGAGCAAGGGGATGGGAGCGGAGCCCCGCAGGTTGCCCATCCACGAGGTGCCCCTGGGGTGGCCTGGCACAACCCACGCATCCCTCCCGGGGGGCTGGCTCACCCGCCCGTGCTGCTGTAGGGTCCCTGCGGCTGCACACGCCAGCAGGCTCTGCTCCACTGCCCCCCGGGGGTCCCGCAGCCATGCCAGGTCCTGCAGGTCCTCAGGGCTCAAGAAGCAGGCAAGGGTCCCCAGCCTGTACAGAAAAAGTCTGTTAGCGGGCAAGGGCAGCCCTGCCAGCACCCATCTCAGCCCCGCTCTGCAGCAAGGCCACGGCCTTCACAGCAGAACCAAGGCTCTGCACCAGCCCAGCCTGGGGCACGGCTGTGCTGCCACTGGCAGCCCCCATCATGCTCACCTGTGCCCGGGCTCGGGGCCAGCTGCATGGCTCCTGTTTGCCAGGCTGCCTGCTACATGGCGGCCCTGCACCAGCCCCAGCCGCAGCAGCTGCCAGCCATCCCCCAGCCCCCAGATCTGGGCAGGCAAAAGGTGACACTTGGCTCAGGCCTCCTGACCAGACCTGGGGCTCCCAGCCAGGGCTGTGGCTTCAGCATGCAGGGCCAAGGAAGGGCATACAGGGGTCCCAGCCAGGGGGGGTGCAGGATCGGGGGTGCAGGATCAGGGGTGCAGGGTTGGGCAGGGTGAGATTCCCAGCTCGGGGCCACAGGGATCCCCGCCTGCTGTGGGCAGGGCCGAGGGTGCAGGGCTCCCAGCTTGCTGGGTGCAGGGCTGGGATCCCTGCCTGCCGTGGGTAAGGCCACACTGGCTGGGCAGAACAGCCTGCACGAGGGCGCAGGGCTCACATCCCACCTGCTGGGGAGTGAGCTGCAGGAAGCAGTGCAGCGGCAAGTGGGGCAGCAGCGGCAGGATGGCACGAAGGAAGCCGAGGGGCCACGTGGGCACAGCCCCGAGGAAGGGGGCCTGCAGCAGGCGCCTGGCAAAGGCGGCCTTCTGCCCCTGTGTCAGGCGGGCGCTGTGAGTCCGCAGGGCGGCGAGGCTGTGGGGACAGAGTGCTGGGACACAGCTACAGAGAAACCTCCCAGGCCCGCACCATGAACCCACCTCAAAGGGCACCCCAGACACCATCACCAAGCACGTGCCCCACAGAGCCCACGACCCAGGGGCACTTAAGAGGCCTTCTGCACAGCTATTGCATGGCCTGCTTGGGCTGGAGCTCTGCAGGGGACAGGGCACCATGGGGTCTCTGCAAGCGATGGCAATGCAGGGCACAGGCCGGAGCTGGCCACACCATGCGTGCGGGCAACCCAGGCACCCAGTGCCGCTTACACGCTCTCGTTGGCCAGGAGGGCCAGCGGAAGCCTCGCGATGTCAGACACTGCCAGGAAGGGGATGAACTGCGACAGGCTGACAAACAGCTGGGGGGTGAGATGGGGCAATCCACGGAGCAGCAGCACGGCCAGCAACGGCAGCGCCTCCTCCCCGGACGTGGGTGACGGCACCTGCAAAGCTGCGTGAGCCCCAGCTCTGGCAGGACACAGCCCCGAGGAACCAGCACAGGCCCAGTGCCGCCCAGCCGTGCCCCAGGAGAGCACCCCCATGCATGGGCTCTGCATGCCTGGGCTCTGCACACACACACCCTGGCCATGGGCTCTGCAACCCCTCACACATAGGAGCTCTGGACTCCGGCAAGCACGGCCTCTCCACCTGCCCTGTGCAAGGTCTACACCCCTGTATGTGGCTGTACCCCCACATGGTGTGCGCCCCCCACACACGGGCTCTTCCCCTCCCATCACACAGGCTCTGCAACCACGGCACATGGGCTCTGCACACCCTGCCCTGTCCCAGTCCCTCTAACCACCTCCCCGCGCAGCCGGTGCCAGGAGCGGTGCAGCAGGGCCAGGAAGCGCTGCACAGCCTCGGGCCCCGCCGTGAGCAGCAGTCCCTGGAAGCTCTCCTCTGGCATCTGCAGATACTCCTGCGGGGAGGCCACAGCTCAGCACAACCAGCAGCAGGAACCCAGGCCATGGGAGTGCAAGGGGCAGGCAAGCCCTCCGCTCAGGATCCTGGGTGGGCCAGGAACCGGCCTGGCTGGGTAGGGCAATACCTGCGCCAGGATGTCCAAGGCGGGAGCACCCTCGCTGTCCTGGAGCAGGTCCCAGAGCACAGCCTGCAGGAGAGAGCAGGACTGCACTCCCTGTGTCTCGGCCCAGACCTTCCCCCAGAGCTCCTTGCCCAGTACCCCACAGTGGGTCTGGGGCAGCCTTGCTATGGCTTCACCCCAAGCCACAGCCCTGACACCCCAATCCAGGACTGACCGTTCCCAGCCACTGGTGGCTGAGCAGACCGCATGCACTGGTCCTGCTCCCACCATGGCTGGCACTGGACAGGGACCCCAGGACTGGGACCTGCACCCTGCCCAGACCCCGCAGCTGGCGGGAGGGGTCCCCAGGTCTGGCACCCTGACCGCTGTCCCGCACCCATGGAGGCCCTCGCTCGCCCCCTCAGCGCTGCTCAACTCACACTAAAGCAGCTCAGCAGCTCCCTCTTGGCTGACGCCCTGTGCTCCCACCCCAGGTACTGGCCCACAGCTCGCAGGATGACTCTAGATGCGTTCACCCTGAGCAAACCCCAGAAGGATGTGTTGTCCAGGAGACTGGAGAGGAGGATGGCGTCGCTCAGCTGCTCCCCAGCCGCCTGCCCAGCCTCCTCTCGTCTGGAGAGGGCCAGGCTCCGGTCAAGCAGGCGCAGGAGGTAGTTCACGTGGGGGGCCCAGCCTGGAGCCTCCTCCTCGCACTGTGGGAGCTGCGAGGCCAGCCCCAGTAGGTAGGCAGCCGGGTCTGGGCAGAGCTCTGTAGCGTCCAGCCTGGGGTGCAGGGGCAGGAGCGCCAGGAGCTGCTTCAGCAGGCAGTGTCCCCCAGGCAGGGCACCCTGACAGTGCACCCCCACCACAGGCTGGGGATGCCCCAGCAGCTGCAGGAGGGAGGCATTGGTGCACACCAGCTCCTGGAAGCAGCTGGGAGGCACAGTCCTGCACAGCTCCAAGAGGCCAGTGTTCCCCCGTGCCCACAGGCTCTGGGCCCTGAAGGAGCAGGGGTCTGTGCCCCCAGGCTCTGAGGCGTTGGGCATCTGTGCCTGGGGCTGGGGACCGCCACACAGCTGGGAGAGCCAGGCCCGGAGGTCAGTGGGCAGCAACTCGCGGCTCCCGCTGCCGCAGAGCCGGGCGCCCCAGAGCACGTGGCTTCCCAGGAAGCAGCTCCAGGCGTCCTCCCAGCGCGCACCCAGCGGGCAGGCGCTGCGGCTGGGGGGCCGGGCCCCTGCCAGGCCCCGGGCCAGGTCGGCACAGAGCTGCTCCAGCAGGACCTGCTGGGGCCCAGGGGTCTCCCTCAAGGAGGTGTTGCTGCAGACAGTGCTGTTGAACTGGGCAGGGTAGCGCTCCCGGCAGGCCCGGGCCCATGCTGAGCCTCCCTCACCCGCAGAGAGGTACCAGGCTGCATTGGAGCAGGCAGCCCCCAGGTCCCCCAGGCGCTGGCTGGAGCCCCGGGAGCTGTTGAAGAGGTTGCAGTAGAGGTAGACCGTGAAGTTGGAGACACCCGGCAGCCCGGGGACACTGTCATTGCACACAGCCTCCAGAACAGGGGGCAGGAGCGAGGGCTGGCCCTGGGGCACAGAAGCTGCTGCCCGGGGGACAGGCTGGAGGCAGCCGGGGAGGGGCGGCGGAGCAGGGAGCACCCCGGCCGCGAAGCCCAGGCCGCGGGCGTCCCAGCTGAGGTTGTGGTGGAAGCCCCTGGAGGGCAGAGACCGGATCAGTAACCGCGCCAGCCGGGGCAGCCCCAGCACCGCTCTCCAACAGAGTTGCCCACTGCAGCCCTGCCCACCTCGGAAGAACCCCTTGTCTGCGGGCCAGGTGCCCGC